AATGAAAGGGGACTGAAATAGTTTTAACACTGAAATGTCGAAGTGAGGAAAGCCACACATTGAAAAATATTTCAATAAAAAATGTTAATTAATTACCATAGAACAAACATTGGGTCAGGTATGTATTTAAATGAATTTCTTTAGTATTAAGTTATAAAAAAATTTAAATAGAGGTGGTGACCTTCATTCGTTATTTCTGTTTAAAAGCTATTAGTCCTCTTTAATATGATACCGAATTTGTTTAATTTGGATATTTGGTTATTTTCGGTCCCTGGAATATTGTGCAAGTGCACAGACGTATATCGAACCAGTCACAGAAGAAAGCATTAAAAATGAGTTACAAAAACTAAAATCGAAAAACTCTGATGACGTGACAGTTTCTCCAAATTCCGAAACAACCAAAAGAATGAGAATAAAGAATTCTTTGGAAAAAACGGTGTCTAAACAACGATTGTGCCATGCTGCTAGATTGTGAAGATGAAAGTCAGGAGGATACATCCGATAATTGCAGCCCCGATGAAATTCTCAAAAAGTAACTATTGCACCGCAATAAAAATAAATAAATATAACTGAAAGTCCTCTGAACTGGTGCAGTGTCAGTCAAAAAGAATTTACAATTTTGCCAATTTTCAAGTTTTTCAAGTTTTGTCGCCTCGAGCGCATAGTTATATAGAGGCGCAGCTTTGATTTACGACCCCTCGAAAGGTTTTTTAATATATTCCAACGGTTTTTATCCTCCATTCCCGCCCATCCGCACGAGGGGCGCAGTCCGCATGACGTACGGAACCAGTATTTTCCAGGGACAAAAAATAACTGTTATCTCGAATTTGGAAATTGAAAACGTTGCCCGAATTCTGAAATTTAACGAAAACGTTGTTTCATAACAGTTATTAAAGGAGAAATATTTTTTCCGTTGCCGATAAGAGTTATTTCGTAACGTTTACGTAAGTTGCTTGATAACTGTTATTGCCCGACGTTTATTTTTTACGTTGCTTGATAACAGCTACTGCCCGATGTTTATTTTTACGTTATCGGATAAGAGTTATTTCACTCTCTCACTTTTATTTCATCATCTTTTATTTCTCCATCTCCATCTTCATCAATATCCTAATCTGTCCCTGGTATTTTCAATTTTTCCGCCGAGTCAAGATAGGCAGGAGTTTGTTAAGTGTCGAGATCTAAAAGTGTTCAGCTACAGAACTAAATTCATCAGCCGATTTTGTCTTTATTTTAATGATTCATTTATTGGGAGAGGACAGTATCGATTTCTTAATGCTGAAAAGCGGATCTGATATATCAAACGTGCTGGAATGAGAGTTAAAATCCTGGCATAAGCAACGGAGTGGGTCGTGCAATTCAAAATTATTAAGTATAATGTTCCAATTTTTTAATTCAAGTACTAAAAAAAATTCAGTCTTATCATGACTTTAATTTTCCCCAAACCGGTTCACTTTTCACTTTTGGTTTTCATGTACATATTTACTATGGGCGGAATACAAATTTTCGGCAGAATTTTTTTCGGGCAAAACTCAGGATAAGGCAGATTATTAAAAATTATTAACGCTTCCTTTTTTTATTTACTTAAATAAATCACCCTATTTACCCATCCAAATTATTTCTTGAAAATACATGACATCCGCATTCGCATTCGCATCCGCGGATGCTAGCTTTTAAACATCCGCATCCGCATTAGCATCCGCGGATGTCTAAAATTCCACATTCGCAACATCCCTGGTATGTATATATGAATATATTTTAGCAGCGCCACATCTTTATCAGGAATTTCTGAGAATCCAAAAAGAGTTATCGTTACAAGGTGCACCTCCTTCCTCTCTCACGGATAACGGTACATCGTATCGAGGTATAAAAATATTTTACGTCCGCAAACTGCATTACATCGCATTACGTACTCTCCTCGGGACAACAAAAAACTTTATTTTCGAAACTTTGCACAAGTGTACCGAATTCTTGGAAACGCCAAGACTTTTCTTTTAATATTTTCATCCAACTTCACTAACTTCAAACTGGTTTTTTTTTTTTACTTTTTCAAGAAACAAAAATTATTGTGCTAGTGAATCTGGTAGTATGATTTAAGTTAAATGTCATAAACTTGTTAAAAGTCAAGTGATCGGCAACAACAACGAATGTCAATAAATGAAACTACCTTCAATTATAAGTTTCGTTCCTTATCTCCCAGAAATAGTCAGAAAAAGTCCGAAGTAGTCAGATTTAATCCAAAAAGCGTTCCTTAACTCGAAAATAACAGCAAAAATGAGAGAGCAACACTCAGTGAGAGTGACTCTCTTCAGTCCGAGGAAGTCAGATTTAGTCAGAAGAATTTTTGCTGGCAAAATCTTGAAAAGTGTCAAACTCAACTGAATTTAAATTAACGGAAATTAAAGAATACGCAAAAAGTGAGAATAATCTAAAAAGTAAAAAAGGGCAATTGAAATTTGAAGGAGGCAAAAAATAATTGACATAGTGTTTATTGTGCTTGTGCTTGTGAGAATGTGTTTTGTGCATACCCTGAAGGAAAGATTGGTCCAATCGCTCGAAAAATATAGTCGTAGGTATAGTACCTTTGTATCTAGACCAAAGATAGTCCAAAAATATAAAGCGATGTAATGTAAAACAGGTGAATTGTACTAAAAGTGGTCCGAATGTAATGCATAAGGTATGAGTTATGAACTAAAACTGGTTACAATGTCATACAATAGCGGACAACGGGTACAATTAGCGACTTACTGATATATAGGCACTTAGTCAACAAATTTTCATGTTGGCATGCGGAGACAGTATCCGCTAAAAAAATCTGAGAACCCCGGTTCGAATCGCAGCTGGCGCACGTTTTATTTTTTTTCCCCCAAAATTGGTTACAATGTAATGCAGAAGCGGACAATTGGTCCGAGCCTAGGACATTCAATGTTAAATGTAAATAGAAATTTACATGTTGTTGGACCAAACTTTGCACTAGTTACAATCACTTTCAGTCTAGTTTGTGGTGTGCTCTAAGTCTATTCCGAGATGCTACAGGGTACATTTCCATTCTTATGTGATGTTAGTTTTGTTGTTGCCATTCTTTGGACTAAAAATTTGGTTTTTTGCGTTTCTTTACTTTCCTGTTATTCTCTTTTAGTGAGCGCATTTTGCTTACGCTCTGGATAAGGAATGAACCTTTGGTATTGTGGTGAATTCGCCTCTTGTAACAATAATCGATAACATGAGT